GCCACTTTGAGTGGTGTGTCAGCGCCTCGACACGCAGCCGCCCACGCGCCTAGAACATAATGAACCCTATATTTAGGCCATCATTACACATTAAATGCTTTGACATGTTCCCCAGGAAGAAAGCTCCTGCCGAACCTTCCGACTCCATGGTAGTCGAGCAATATCGTTTGAACACAAAGAAAGCTCTTTTTTTCCTTAATAGGTATACCCCTACAATACGACCACAAGAAGCATGAATACGCTCTCCGCAGGTACACCTTGACTCCCGACCACGATACTTATACAACATCTTCCTTGCCCATGCAAACTCCCTGAACAGGACATACTAGCGGGGAAGGCTGTTAATTTGGACGATCACATCCCCTATTGTAAGTGTTGGACTAAAAGCTAAGGCTTGCGTCCGTATCGACCAGGCTCGAGTTGAATGTCAAAGACATGAGGGTCGCCACAGAGATCCTCGATGTCACTACCTCTTTGACACACGAGCTGACATAAAAGTCATAAATCCTCCTACTAATGAGCAACAAATTGGGGGGCTCCTATTCTGGACTGGGCCTGCGCTTATTATGCTGTCGGGCAGGATCGATCCCAACTCTATTGCGAGGAAGGCCCACTACTGTGGCCCAAATTGCTATGACTATTGGAGAGTTCCTCCCACACGTTCCCGTCGAGAACGCTTCCTCCACGTGCTCGTCAAGGAAGTCTCCTCCACGTGCCCGCCAAGGGCACGTGCCCAACGACTCTCTGAATATCTCGGAGTCATCCTGACCCCGTAAATAATGTGTCTTCTACCTCCGAAGATCACGGGGCAGTTGAACCAGGATAAAGATCATGCACTGGTTTCCTCTACCCACGTAGGATCCTGGTAGTTTCCATTATGGGCCTGGGCATCCGGCCCAAACTAGGCACCTTGGTCCAACGATGAGGACTATAAATACCCTCTTTCACTAGAGGGTCATGTATTCAATTCTACTCACTTACACTCTGTATTTGCTTTCTTTACTCTGAACCTTACTTTGGCATCAGAGTATCTTGCAAGTACACCCCCATTCACTTCGACAACCGTAGAAGTCCAAGTGTTGCAGGTCACTGAAGATCCTTCTGATCCCGGTAGGATCAATATGCAATTAAGACCATCCCTGAATCTTAACATATATGCATATATTCCATAATTCATCACAATTGAATTACCACACAATTGCACATACATGCACATACTCATGAATTATCCACATACAATTCATATTCATAGTATCACTGCTCCAAAACATCATAACAACACATGGTAAACAATGTACAAGTATCATTATAATCCAACACCAATCACATACACACACATCAAAACATATAAACAAGGTTTCATGTCTGATCAACTAGGCCTTCAAAAACATCCAACATGTAGTTTTAAATTCCTAAAAATTAAGTATAAATTAGCATAAAATATAAGTATATATAATCCCAAGGAAATTTAAGAAAATAAAAATATTTCAACTCCTAGGCGTCCACGCTAGGAGAGCTCCCAGGCGCTAAGCGCCAAAATCACTGACGCGACTCATGCTAAGCGCGATATACGATGTTAAGTGTCCTATGCGATTTGCAGAAAAATACATGCGATGATAACATTGTTCCCTGTGCGATTTTGATCCCTAAAACACATTTTTTAACATCCAATTGTTATGATTTGCAGCATTATAACATACATCTAACATATATCTATCAACCAAAAACATCACAACACAATCTATCATCACATTCAAGGATTCCTCATTCAAACCTAACAATGTCAAAACCTAAGAAATTGAGATTTACATCCTAGCATATATTTACTCATTAAATACCATTATACAATTCCCATAACGATGTAAAAACTTACTCTTACCTTGATTTTTTGATGGATTCTTCCCTTTGGTGTTCTTCCTCTTTTCTCCCTTTTTCTCTGTTTCTATGTGAGATAATTTTAACGCATCCCGAAAGGACGGTTATATTTTTAGATAAATGTTTATAACAAATTATTTATATAGTTCCTCAAAAACTTATCCAACACCCCTGAAGAATAACAAAACAAATTATTTATATAGTTCATGAAAAATTTATCAAACATTCCTGAAAGATTGTAAAACAAATTAATTATATAAAGATATAATTTTAGTGATATGATTTTTTCTGATTTTGATAATTATATGATAATATTTATATGCATGTGTATGACTAAAGTGCTTAATCATGATATATTATTATATTAGTTTTCAATATATTGTCAACCATTACACAAATTAGATATAGTTCTTAATGCTCCAAAGTTAGGATGATCAATGTTTAACATGTGTCCTCAATTGTAATATCTCATACTAAACAAAGTCTTATTGATACAATTTATTTATATCATATTATTTTTAAATATTGATATTTTAACAAGAGAATTGAGACATCGATTCTTAGAGGAGAAAATAAAAAATCAGTTTTGAGACCGTAAGAATCACATATAGAGAGGGTCAGAATTTTATTGCTAACCTCACTCTTCATATCCCTTAGTACTATTCAAACAATAAAATTAGAGTCTTATGTCAAATAGTTAGTGACTTAGTTTATATAATTAACTTGTATGATTCTTTTTTGATTGTATTGACTTCAATTTTACACCACAAATTGTTTTATAGTAAAACTATGTTGCTAACCTATTACAAAAAATATCAATAATATAAAGTTGTAGAAAGAAATTTGGCTGTCGCTTTCAATTAATTATTATATTATTGATTTATACAAATTTATAACATCAAACTACATGTGGTTAGAGCTTATGCAGTTGAATTGTTATCTGCATTTCGTTATTTGATTTTCATCAAAACTATGTAATTTAGTTTTTCAATATAACAAATAATTTATCATTTACACAAATTTATTATACTATAATTTTTTTTTGTTTTTAAATGCATTTTGAGTAATTTATTTTGTTTGAGATGTGTGAAGTATGTTGTTATTTAGTGATAAAGCTATTAAGTTTTTTGATATAATTTTTTTTCTTACGTATTAACTAGTGAGATATTGTGCGTTCACACAGATACCGGTACGATATATACATTTATTTTTAAAATATAATAAAAATAAAATACAATTTAAAAAAAAAAAGTCATGGTCTATAATTCTTCTAATATATAAAAATATTTGAATAAATAATATATATTTTTTATATAAATATTATTTTTGTTTTAGAATTATTGTAAAAAATATTTAAATCAATAGTAAAGTTGTTCTATTAACATTCAATATTTTGATTAATAATTTCGTATTTCCGTTAATACTCAATAATTTAACCAGTAATTTCATGTTTCCGTTAATGTTCAATATTTTGATCAATAACTTAATATTTTCATTAATATTTAATATTTTGATCAGTAACTTCATGTTCTCGTTAATATTCAATATTTTGATCAGAAATTTCATGTTCTCGTTAATATTCAATATTTTGATCTGTAACTTCATGTTCCCATTAATATTATATATTTTGATCATAATTTTATATTCCCGTTAATATTCAATATTTTTATCAGTAATTTCATTTTCTCGTTAATGTTCAATATTTTATCAGTAACTTTATGTTCTCGTTAATATTCAATATTTTATCAGTAACTTTATGTTCTCGTTAATATTTAATATTTTGGTCAGTAACTTCATGTTTCCGTTAATATTCAATATTTTGATAAGTAATTTCAAGTTCTCAATATTTTAATCAGCAACTTCATGTTTCCGTTAACATTTAATATTTTGATCAGTAACTTTATATTCCTGTTAATATTAAATATTTTGATCTTTATGTTCCTGTTAATATTTAATATTTTTATCAGTAATATTCAATATTTTTAATCAGTAACTTCATGTTCCTATTAATATTCAATATTTTGATCACTAATTTCATGTTTCCGTTAATATTGAATATTTTATTAGTAATTTCAAATTTCCGTTAATATTTAATATTTTGATCAGTAACTTCATATTCCCGTTAATATTCAATATTTTAATCAGTAACTTCATGTTTCTGTTAATATTTAATATTTTAATCAATAAATTCATGTTCCCGTTAAAATTTAATATTTTGATCAGTAAATTCATGTTACCGTTAAAATTAAATTATTGAAATGATGTTTGGATCTCTATGTTTAAAAAAATATATTTATCATTCTCAAATATAACTTGTTGACAACTGATAATCGATAGTATTAATATAAGTAAACAATCATAAATTTTAGAAAAGATATAGTAATTGATTTAGTTAAACAAATGTTATTGATTTAATATCAAAAAAATATGATTGATTTAATAAAAAATGTGATTGATATAATAATAATAAAAGAAAAAAGAAAAACAAAATTGTTTAACCAAAACACAGTTTATTATTTTTAAAATATAATAAATATTAATAATCCAAAGTAGCAAGGTACTAAAATTGAGTTGTTTATAGTTGAATAACTATGGAGTTAGAAAAGGCTATTTATAAAGTGACAATTAACATAACATGCTTCTATGGGACTTTTTCTCATAAATCCAACGAAATCAAATTATTTTAAGCAGGGGTAAATTTATTTTAAGCATTTAAAAATAATGTGATAAATATAGTATATATAGTATTATATGTACCTGTAAATATGAATGAGTCATTTAAATATATAATTTTTCATAGAACAAATTATATAAATTATTTTGTTTTAAAATAATCATAAAATATGAGTAACATTAAACTATCTTCTATTTATTAGGACAAGCATATGTAAGAGAAAATAAGTGCACATGTGAAAGAATAGAGGTGGTGAACAAAATTGAAGAACTTTAGGAGTGTAGAAGAGCAGAAGTAAGGACAATCAACAAAATTTGTAAAATAATTTCTATATTGGCTGCATCATTATATTTAATGACATACTTATAATGATTTCTAAACCACGTAACTTCGAAAATAATTTCTATAATCAAGTAGTTCAACTAATTAACATGGGAAAATACTCAAGTAGTCATTTGTTGAGTGGCTCACTACCATAACATAAATACCTCCGATCACCATCTTTAATCAAATTCACAACTCCTTCATCAATTCCTGTGTAATAGTTCCCTTGTCATGAGCATGCCTACCTTATACTATACATCTAAGTTTCAATTATAAATTAGTATTCACTAATAAATCAGAATCATGATCATGCCTACCTTATACTACATCTACACATGTTTTATGGTTATTTAATTATCAATTCCAATGGAAAGAAACAAAACAAATCACATGGAAGAATCGGTTGCTAGTAAAATGGCCTCTTGAAATTGTTTATGATGATGGTATTCACAATATTAGATAATTTTGTGCAATAACTATTGTGTCTCAGGATTGGTGTTACTCTTTTTTCATTCTGTTGTGTTTTAGTCACTTCTATTAACAGAACTTGTGTTTTGTGTCAGGACATATATTCTGTTAGAGTATAGTAATTATTCTAGAGTACTTTTCTGTTATCAATACTTATATTTTTTTTTCAGAAAATGTAAATTTCAGCAATTTGAACGGAATAAGTTAAATGTCAATATCCTATCCCTTTGAAGCTCATCAAAGTCATATGATAATGAATTTAAAGTCGGTATTTAGAAAAAAGTATTGAAGTTAAATTAGGAATTTATTTTATAAGGCTTAATCAAATTGACATTTAAAAACATCTAATTGCTTGACAAAAAGGCATACCACAGCAATAAATTTCCCACAAGAAAATGCCAAAGCTATATACATCCCATGTCCTATTGTAAGGTTTACCATCCAAAACCTACACATTGTGTAAAGCATAGATTAATATTTCAAACTAACAACTTCAAGTTCCCATCTATTAAACCATGTGAGTAATTTGGAAGTTGCAACTATTAACATATGTACACCATGTGAGTATCAATACCTTGGGAGCCATATATTCGAGGGTTCTAGTTTCACCAGTCATGTCACTTGGATTCATAACTTCAACGTGAGCAACTCCAAAATCAACTATCTTTAGATTCCGGTTACCATCTAGAAACATATTCTCCGACTTAACATCACGATGAACAATCTTCTTCGAATGCAGATAGCTAAGACTGCATATTAGGGAAAATAAATTAGCATTCTGTATGTATCAGTATTGAATTTGCAATTTCTAAATGTAGGGATAGAAAAAAAGGACCTACCCTCTGGAGAGGTCCAAAGCAAGCTGAACCACAATCTTATACGCAAGTTTCTTCCGCTTGTTTTTATCAAGTATTGTTTCAGTGTTCCACCAGTGAGAAACTCGACGATAACACAACATGCCCTAGAAGGAAGGGTCTCTTGATTGTCAGTAGAGTTTTTTGAAGGAATCTTAAGATTCAAAGTTCCCATTCAAGCTCCAACAAACTGTTGCAGAAATAAATACAAAACAATCACTAATCCGAAAAATTATTCATGATTCATCGATACGAAATATTGTACTCTTCCTCAATGCCCTTTACAGACAAAATCAACCATCATTTGGTTAGGGAGTATCTTCCTTGCACTCTTCCTCAATGCTACATGTCCATCTTTTGCAACCAACTTAGTCCCCTCCATTTGGCTGACGCGAATTGCCTCAGTTGTAATTTTTGGTTTATTGTTTCCTTTCCTGTTTGCTACTACTGGTGTCATAATAATACTAAATAACTATTTTTTTTCATAACCCAAAACTGCATCTATTCATCCCTTATACTGCTATTGCTACTACTGGTGTCATAATAATACTAAATAACTATTTTTTTTCATAACCCAAATCTGCATCTATTAATCCCTTATACTGCTATTGTTCATCGGTGACTATGGTAGCAATCCAATTTTTTGGAAAAAGAAAATCAAAAGATGAAAACTATATTTTTCAGCAATACTATTGAGTATGTTTGAAAATCACGGATCTCTTTTTTTCTCCTTCTCCTCATATAGGGGTTAGTGGCTAACGTGATAGTAAAGTAACTTCACATAAAAAACAGTCACTATACGATCTATACATTATGAAATTCACATCATGTTTGTGTACGTGTGTGCATTAAGGAACTAAAAGGAAGTCTTGTTATAGTTATGCTAATTACATGCGTTTACTTCAACCATGCAGGAAAATTTTCCATCAGTCTCCTCATCAGATTCAATGACAATTTCACAATCTCTTGCTCCCATTATCTGTCATATTCAGTTTCAAACCATATTTCGCATTACCAATAAATAAAGCATGTATAAGAAGATTGTAAAGGATAACAACCTACAGGAAACAATATGTATCATGAAAATTTTAATAAATAACACAACAAGTGATGTCCAACCTGTTAATGGATGAGCACCTTTTCCATTTCCTTAAATCTGATTGTAGTGCTCCCACAAAAATCCAGTCTGTTGATATTTCTGCACTATATTTCTGCAGTAGCAGGCAAATACATCATTGTACAAACTCTAAATTAATGATGGACATAACTTCAGTAGAAGACTGCTCGTAATCGAGATTCATCCGCTTCTCTAAAACAGAAAACTAAAAATGGTACTAATTAAAGAAACCAAACTTCAGTAGCAGATCATTCAACATAATTTTTTAAAGTAAAATCATTCTAAGGCAGTTGCTTTGTTGAATGTCTTGACTATTCAGATAAGCCTGGATTAATGAAACCAAAAGACATTCATCTTAATAAAGTTAAAAGTTAAGGAAGACATAAGCCTACCTATTGCACGCTGCGCATTTTAATAATGCGGACCCCAAAAAAGGAAAACGCGAGTGTCACAGCTTATCAAAGAAATCTTGTTAATTCCTTCTTTTATTTTTGAAGTGATCTAACAAAATAGACAAAACTTAACTTAATTTAACACTCTAAAATGATTAGACTAAATAGCTCCCCAACATAAATATCTAAATTTAAAATACACGTTAAATAAGACAACTGCAGAAAATTCAGAGTAGTTATAATACTTAATGACAATAAACTCACAAATACACCATCATCACGACCATTAGCCCCAAGCAACTAAGAACCGAGTTTATTAATTGCACGAACATCACAGCCTATATGATCATAATAAAATAGAACAAACATTTAATACTGCACATACCAACAAATAACACCTTTCAATACAAATAATCTTAAAAACTCTCAAGTTGCCTACACATAAAAATCTCCAATTTCCACAAAGACCAGTAACAGACTAACAGAGTCAGGCTGAATATGGACCACCACTCTGCCGATAGATAGCTTGGTACAAACGTGACTGCAACAGTGGAATACCACATCGACCCTGCCAAAAGAAAGCAACAACAAAAACGGAAACACCGCAGAACTGGTCTGAGCCCTCGACGACAAAAAAACTCGCAATACAACAGAGCTGCAAATCAGCTGCATCTGTGAAAAAAGCACAAAATGTATATCTGAAAATTAAAGAAATACAATTATTTCATTCTTACATTGGCATATCAGGGTCAAGAGGTCATCACCAAAACTTCCATCTTTTCCATCCTCTTCATGCTTCACCACTCGGAGTTTGTCACTCTGCCACTTCTTTCATTCCACCATTCGATCTTTCCAAGCCACACTTCCATATCCATATACAACAATATATTTCTTGGGAACCATAGGTCTTGGTTGCACTATGAAAAAAGTTGCACAAGGATGAGCCAATATATAAAGATGATACAAAACATACCAAAATACAATCTAAATAAAATTATACAATACTCACGTGGAATAGATGAATCTGTATAAGGCATGGGATGGACTCGGTTTCCGGTATTTTCCGGCTTCAAATCTCAGACATACTTGCTGCAAAATAATCTATCACAGTACCCAAAAAATTATCTATCATAACTCAAAATCATGAAACTCAATTCTAATATAAAAACCCTAACCACAAATTATCCCCTTTTCATTATCAACACCAACAAAATGAAAACCTTTCCCAATTATTCTATTTCTCACATAATCATACCTTTCTATTGCTGGCGACGAAGGAAGTTAGAAGCCCATATATTAATCTTGAAGAACCTGGAAAGCAAAAAAAGAGTGAAAAAAAAAACCAAATCGATCGATGCACTTCTGAATACAGCCTTTCTAGGTCGCCCGGTGATTGTAATACCTCGTCAATCTGAATTTGGCTCCACGCAACTTCAAGACCCGTGATTTCTTCAAATGCCTTATAGCTAATTAATTATCCATAAATTAAGGAAAATAGATATAATATAACCACACTGCTTGCATTATCACTTATTTAAATTTTGACGAATTTCAACTAGTTAACAATGCATCCATAAAACCAAAACCAAAAACAAAGATACACAGTCTTGAAAGCTCATTTGCCAATTACTTCCTTATACTGTGATGAATGCAAAAACTAACATCAACATCAAATTAAGAAATGAAAAAGGAATGAAATAAAATGCACGCAAACACAACATTACAATACCCTATGGTAACGACTAGTATCAATTTTAATGATATCAGGATCTGGAGGCTCAAGAATCATCGAACCTTCCTCCGAGCAATCTGTGTCCGCCAAACTCATCTATAAGGCGCTATAATTCCTTTTCTACAAATCAAGAATTACAGATTGTAAACATTTGGATTCAAGAATTGTATTTTTTGTATCATGCATGAAAGAAAATTGAAAATTGAGAAATTATAGTACCTTAAAATAGGAATAGGGGCTTCTGAGGTGAGTTTCTCGGGAGGAAACCCGTAGAGTTTAGAAAGAGAAAAGGGCATCAGAGTGTTGTTTGATGAATGGGAGCTTCAAATCCTAAAAGATTAATTGTTTGGTGAGAAGAGAAAAAACGGAAACAAATTAGATGATAGGGTGTGGTTTTGTAACCGCCAGCCCTCCATCCAACGAAATGATAATGGAACAAAAATAGGGGATGGATTTTTGAACCAAAATTTTTTCCCTCTTCTCAAGAAGCCACTTTCGGCAACAGACTAAGTGTAGAAAAAGTTCTACTTTTCTTATATTGTAGATAATCTCAATTAACTTTAGTTATCATGTCAGAATAAAATATAATAATAAAAATATAATATCTTACTCTAAAATTTGTCCTCTCATGTCTCCCAAGGTTTCTTTTACATGGGTAGTTACAAATACTTGCCAAAAGAAAAATGAAATTTTTTGAATGACAGCAAAGTGCCTTTCGATTGGCATGCCAACAATGGCTTTCGATTGGCATCTGAGTAATGTCATCCGATTGTCACATCAGAGCAAAGGGTCCTTCGATTGGCATGTCAACAAGCTTCGATTGGGCGTCTAAAACCCTTCGACCAAGCATTGACCCATCAGCTTCGATTGCGCGTTGGTTCCCTTTTCGAGCAAACATTGGTCCAAGTTTCATTTAGGTGAGAATCCCTTACAAGTTCCCTTCGATCCACAAGCAGTGGCCTCCTGCATGTGTATTCTGATTCACTAGGCAAAAAACTTCCTCATGCTTGCCTTAGTTTCACAAGGCAAAGATCCATCAACTTGCTTTCGATCTACAAGGCAAAAGGCCCCTTTTACTAGTCTTCGATTCACAAGGCAAAGGGTTGCCTCAGAAATGCTTCGATTCACTAGGCGATGACCTCTTTTACGCTTGCATTGACCTGCCTCATGTAACACCTCAATTCTACCCCAAGCAATTATGCAAAATAAACCAGAGTTATAAGATTTTAATCATACAAATGAATCGGAACGTCACAAATTCTTCTAACAAAATTCATTGCATTCGTCGTGGATATATAACACTTTCAAAACATCAGATGAACGATCATAACATCTTTAAGTAAAATAATTCAACATCTACGCAGCGGAATTCTCAATAACTTCTTTAAACAACAAAACAACAACTTCGAAACATCACACATTTAATAATAATCAATTTAAAATTTAACAACTGAAAATCAACAATCAAAAATCAGCAAGCGTTCATCCCCCCGAGTGTTACATATCAGAGCAATGACACCGACTCGAACTACTGAAGGTACACAGTCTTCACTCTCGATTACCTGCACGTTACCAATATAAGGGCAACATTCAAACAGAAGGGGTGAGATATCTAACAATATAATAAAGCGCGTGATAATTAATATATTAAATTAGATCAATAACATCACCACTTCTCATCTCACAATCAACAACAATCTCACAATAATATACATTCATCAACATCAAAATACACTTCTTTATGAAATCATATAATGCGACTCGAGACTATGAAAATGCATGTGGTACCATTGGAGCAGAACTCCCATCTCAAAAATTTGCCAATTAATAGAGGCATCAACAAGGCATAGCCTTCATCTCAAAATTCGCCAATACAAATCATCTCAACGAGCATAAGCTCCATCTCAAAAATGCAATGTATGCGACACAACCATGAATGTAATAACAACACCCAAGTTAACAACATCTCAAATCATCTCAAAATATCTCAATTAACATCTCAAAATAACAACATCTCAATCATCTCAAAACATCTCAATTAACATCTCAAAATAACAACATCTCAAATTATCAAAATAATTCATTACACATCATTCATCTATATAAATCATCAAACAGAACATCATGAGTAACTTCTCACTAAAAACTCAGTTGTATATTAATACTACAGTAATCCCTACTGTTATTCTGCAATTTTACATTGTTATTGTCACTAATCCTAATTTCATAATTCAAACAGCAGCCTCTAGACATCTCATATTCACCATTCTGTTCAAAAACCAGCACAACGATCAACACGGGAATTACTTCTAAATCCTAAATTTGCTATTAGGATTACACTTCTTATTCATCGTTTTAATCATCTAGAATAAAGTTCATCGTGTTAGCTATTCAACACTTCAAACGACATCTCAAACAACATCCTAAAACTCAAGTTACAACACTTTTAAACTGAATCTGTTAAAAATCAGACATTATGGGTCGACGCATAACCCTTTGGATCGACGCGTACTGCTTCATCTGCACAACATGAGTCGACACATCCTCCTTATGGATCGACTCATCCTGGTCTCAAACACAACATGTATCGACACATGCATCTCACTGATCGACTCATCCTGAGTCTTGCAACTATCATGTATCGACACAAGCCCTTTTTGTATCGACTCATCCTGAGTCTAACATCGCCCATGTATCAATGCATCAAGCTTGAGGTCGACACATCCTAGTCCCTCCTGCATAATTCTGAGATTTCCTCTGTATTTTCACTACGGGAATCATATTACAGCCCTACAAACCTCATTATAAACATGGTAATTCATCACTTAACATTAACCTATAATACTATATCGATTAAACAACATCATGACATCATTATTCATCTAAAATTCATTAAATCTTCACCATACATCATCATATACATCCAATTCAAGAATAAAATAGCAATCACCTCTAATCCCACATATCAAACATCATGAACTCAATTATAAAGTCAGAACCTCACCCTTACCTTGGATTGAAGGTCGCTCTACAATTACCGGGTGAATTCTCGTTCTTGTCGTTTTCTTCTATTTCCAGCAGCTTCACGTTCTCTTCGAAATCCTTATTCTTTCTACTGCTTCTTTCTTTCTATTCCTTCTAACAAATAATAAAATAACCCTATTATTCTATTAACTCCTTAATTGGGCTTAAAACCAACACACCCCCTTATTACTTCTACTCCTTCAAAATAAGCCCACATCAAAATAATATTATACTTCTAATATTATTTCACCACTTAATAAAATAATACCTCTAATATTATTTCAACACTTAATAAAATAAATCCAATTTAATTATAACACATATTCATAAATATTCCAAAAATAATTTAATTAAATAATTAATTAAATTACGGGTGTTACAACTCTCCCCCATTTAGAATATTTTCGTCCTCGAAAATTTACCTCAATCAAACAATTCAAGATAGGAGTCTCGCATCTTGCTCTCCAACTCCCAAGTCATGCTTTCACCAGCAGCTCCTAGCCACACCACTTTAACCAAAGCAATCTCTTTGCCCCTCAGAGTCTTTATTTCACGATCTGTGATCCGTACATGCATCGTCTCCACCGTAAGATTATCCCATACTTGCACATCGTCCATAAGAATCACATGAGATGGATCTGAAATATACTTCCGAAGTTGCGACACGTGAAACACATCATGCAAATTCGAAATATTATGCGGTAAAGCCACTTTGTAAGCAACATTCCTCACTCTCTCTAAAATTTGATACGGTCCAATAAAACGAGAAGTGAGCTTCTTAAACTTCAATGCTCGCCCAACACCAGTCACAGATGTAACTCTAAAAAACACATGATCACCAGCTTGAAATTCTAAATTCTTCCTTTGTTTGTCATGATAACTCTTATGTCTACTTTGGGCAGCTTTCATCTTTTCTCGAATCAACTTCACCTTCTCGGTAGTCTCACGAACAAGTTCAGGTCCAAGTACTACACTCTCTCCATATTCATGCCAACATAACGGAGTTCTACATCTTCGACCATACAACGCCTCAAAAGGTGTCATCCCAATACTAGAATGGTAACTGTTATTATAAGTGAACTCTATCAAAGGAAGATAAGTATCCCACGAACCTCCCTGCTCGAGAACACATGCCCTCAACAAATCTTCCAACGATTGAATAGTCCATTCAGTCTGACCATCTGTCTGAGGATGATACGCTGAACTCAATCTCAACTTAGAACCCAACGCTTCTTGCAAACTCTTCCAAAAATCAGAAGTAAATCTTAGATCTCTATCTGACACAATGCACAAAGGAACACCATGCAGCTTCACAATCACACTAATATAAATCTCAGCCAACTTCGATACTGGAAAACTGATGTTAATAGGAATAAAATGAGCTGACTTCGTAAGCCTATCAACAATCACCCAAATCGAATCATGTCCTCTTAAAGTATTAGGCAACCCTGTCACAAAGTCCATTGAAATGCTATCCCATTTCCATTCTGGAACTTCCAACGGTTGCATCAATCATACAGGCTTCTGATGTTTAACTTTCGACTTCTGACAAGTCAAACATGCATACACAAACCGAGCCATGTCACTCTTCATCCCAGGCCACCAAAACAAACCCTTCAAATCTTGATACATCTTTGTAGCTCCTGGATGAGTACTCAACTTACTTCTATGACTCTCCTCAAGTATCACT